AATTATAGTGGCAGACAAATCTATCCATGAAATTTGGTATGTAAAACAATATGTACCAATAATCATTGAAAAACATATCTTCACAGCTAAAACAATCTATCAACATGACTCAGGACTAGATATAATAATAGGAAATAACTTTCTAAAATTATATCAACCATTTATCCAAAGGATTAGAACAATCAGCCTTAGATGTCCTAAAACAATAGACCAGGAATCTAAGATAATCACAACAAGAATAATCACAAAAAATGAAGTGCTAAAAATTGTGCTTCAAAACCTCAAAAATAGACTAGAATATATACAGATTACTTATAGCATTCTAGAGGATACTTTAGACCAGGTGTGTAGTGAACATCCTTTAGATAAAGATAAAAATACCAATCAAGAACTTATCGAAATTAAACTAAGATCCTAAAATGGAAGTTAATGTCCCTAACAAAATTCAATATACCCAACGAGATGTAGAAGAATTCCAAAAGGAATGTTCAGAGTTAGCTGAAAAAGGAATAATACGAGAAAGTAAAAGTCCTCACAGTGCACCAGCCTTTTATGTAGAAAATAATAATGAAATCAAAAGAGGAAAAAGAAGAATGGTAATAAACTATAAAAAACTAAACGAACAAACAATAGGAGATAGCTATAAACTACCTAGGAAAGACTATATATTAGAAAGATTAAAAGGTCAAACGTGGTTTAGTAGTTTAGATGCTAAATCTGGATATTGGCAACTTCGTCTACATGAGAATACCAAACCTTTAACAGCCTTTTCATGTCCACCACAAAAACATTACGAATGGAATGTTCTCCCATTTGGAATGAAACAAGCACCAGCTATTTACCAACGGTTTATGGATCATGTATTAGAAGGTTTTCAATCGTTCTGTTTGGCATACATTGATGATATCATTATTTTCACAAATCAATAAGAAGAAGACCATCGTGAAAAAATCTTGATAGTTTTACAGAGAATAAAAGAAAAAGGTCTAATTATCTCTAAGAAGAAATCAAAACTTCTTCAAAGAGAAATTGAATATCTTGGTATGAAGATTAATAATTTGGGTGAAATTGAGTTGTCACCAAACACTAAAGAAAAAATTGATAAATTCCCAAACCAACTTGAAAATAGAAAACAAATTCAACGTTTTCTTGGATGCTTAAATTATATAAGCGAACAAGGATTTTTAAAAGATTTAGCAAAAGAAAGAAAACATTTACAGAAAAAGATTTCTGACAAAATCCCTTGGTCATGGAATGATCAAGATACAAAAATAGTTTTATTAATGAAGGAAAAATGTCAGCATTTACCAAAATTATATAACCCTTGTGAAAATGATTTTCTAATAATTCAAACGGATGCCTCTAAGGACACTTGGGCAGGGTGTATGTTAGCAATACAAAATGGTAAGGAATTATTACAAATGGACAATTTTGGTAATGTCAAAATAGACAATAACGAGGCTACTGTCTCTGGCCAAGAGCCTAAAGATTATCAGTCTTCGGACAATATTATTGAACTTTCAAGTTCTCAATCATCAGTTCCTTTCAACAGTGATAAATATTCTAAGAAATTATGTAAATATATTTCTGGAACGTTTACCGCCACTGAACAGAACTATCCGATCCACGAATTAGAGACACTAGCCTGTCTCAGAACATTGAAAAAATGGAAGCTTGAATTATTATCTACAAGGTTTGAACTTCAAACCGACTCTAAATATGTAACAGGTTTTTGGAGGTACAAGCTTCAGGCAGATTTCAACAAAGGGAGATTAATCAGGTGGCAGCAACAACTCCATTATTACAATCCTTATCTGAAGTATATCAAGTCCAGCAACAATCTCTTCACAGACACACTGACTCGAGAATGGAAGGATTCATAAAAACCCTCATCAATCAACTAAGGCAGAAGCAGGAAAAGACTGCAGCACTGGAACAACAACTTCTCCTTTGCAAGGGGGAGGAAGAAGCAATAATTCAATCAATCGACGTCATTCAGCAACAGTTAAAAATCAACTACATCAACGTCAGTACATTAACAACTAGCTCCACTAGTGGAAAGCCATCAACACTCACCACAGAACCTGCTGAAAAAGAAAAGTCGACAGCAACACAATCATCCACCACTACCAGCAATAATATACAAAAGACGACACGATGGTCAGATATCGTTGAACAAGAAGAAAAAGAAACAAAAGATTCCCACTACGAAGAAGACGACAGAAAAAGCATCAAATGGTATGTCATATTCAATGGACCATACCGAGGAGTATATCATAACTGGGCCATCGCTAGCCAGCACATCAACGGCAAACCAGTCCAACATCAATCATTTAAAACAAAAGAAGCAGCCGACGAAGCATACAGACAATCATACAAGGTGATGGCAATGAAAGAACCACTCAAGAATCAAGAGCAACAATCGCAGAAACTCGTCATGAAGATACCCAGTATCAAAAGCATCCTAACCACCAAGGAAAAAGAAGAGCAATTAAAACCAATCTTTCAGAAGTTCATATCCAACTGGGATATGATAATCAACTATGAAGAAAAACACACGACCATGGGTTTCTACCCCGTCAGTCGAGGAGGACCCAAAGCAGTAATCACAGAAGAAGCATCACCAGAACTCTCTTTTGAGTTCCATCAATATGGATTAATCGACACTATCTACACTACAACCATGAAGGTATTTGAATACTTCCCACAAAGAATGAGGAACGTAATCAGAAGATATCTCGAGCTATTCGCCAAGGAAAGAGAAATATTTCTCAAGTATACAAACAGCTACCCCGTATTCGATCAAGACAAACTATTGATCGGATCAAAGGCAGTGATCCTCATGGGAGTATCAAACCATGATTACCCTACCAGAGATGACCTACGAGACTATGAGAAGAACCCAGACTACCAAGTAAAGGGTCTTCTTGCAGTATGCAGAGCTTTAACCAAAATTGAACCGGAAAGCCAGATTAAAGTCAATTACAGCAGCCCCGATGCCATCATCACCAGCAAAACAAGAGGAAACATGACCAAAGAAGAATGGGCAATCATAACAGATAAAATTAAGGAATTCACGGAAATTAATGGGAATCTGTCAGCCCTTCCCATTCAAATCAAGAAACAGTTATGCAATGAGCTTACTATCTATGAAGACCATCTCTGTGAGTGGTGTGCAGCAACTGATGAAGACATCAGTGGACCAGCAGACCAAGACTGACAGAAGCATGTGAAGAAAAAGGAATCAAACATGGGATAAAGCGACAAAAGAAGGTTGGCCGACTCCTTTAAAAAAGTCGTGCATTATTGTATTTTATCAGCTTTCTTATCGTTTCACGCGTTTTCTTTTAACACATTAGCTTTACGTCCCTGTTGCACAAACGTAAGCAATGACGTCTTTGTATCTCCCCTCAGCTCTATATAAGAGCAAGAGTTTGCAATGAAATAAGGCAGAACGAGTTTGGCCATAAAAATTGCCTGTTTACTCTCTCCCTCTAGCTAGCTAGTTGTAAGGCTTGGATCCACTGATCCTGGAGGCCACAATCATTTTCAATATAATCAAACGCACGGAAAGAAGCTACAATCATCAAGCGATCATCAAAAGGCTCAGAATTTCATCAGAAGAGCAAGTCAGGTATGTCTGATAATCCTACCTCAAGTTATTTTGACTATTTAAACAAAAATGATAATGAAAACTACTTCTTAGATGGTGTTATAGACATTAAGAAAATTAGAGAAAAAACTAATTTTACTATTTCAGAAACTCAGAACTTTATCACTAAGTCTTTTTTATCAAAGCTCTTCGATAGAGAAAACATTATTAAATATGGTAAAATGATAGGTGAAGTAGCAGTCCCTATTGATCAAACTAAGGGTGATTTCCTAATCCAAGTAATAAATAAAGAACAAATCAGAAAAAGATTAGCTAAACTAAGACCAGAAGAACGAAATAAAATAGCTTATATTCATATTAGTACAATTCAAATTATATTAAAATCAACCATGAAAATAGGAATTGACGCACCCATGGAATTAGAAATTCGTGATGATAGGCTCCTAAACGAAGAAGAAAGTATTATTGCTAAAGGAACGGGAAATTTAGGAGTAGGAATAATTAAATTCAACATTAACCTGCAACAAGGATTAAGCCTGGCAGATGGTAATCTTGACTCTTCTATCATTATAAAATACGAATTAAAAAGAGAAAATTTTATGAAAGAGAATAGCAAACCATTTTCAGTAACTTATCAAATAAACTATGCATTAACAAATAGTCACCATAGCTTAACCTTTAAAAATAAGGAAGTAATTACTATAGAAGATTTATTTAAACCTTTAATTCAACTAGAAGCACCATTAAAAACTGTTAGAATAGAACCTAGTCGACCATCAATAACCCAAGATCAAAGACGATTAATTAAAACACAATCAGAGAGAATTAGGCATATCCCAGTAATTGAACAAAATTTAGAACAAGAAGAGATAACCAATAATCAAGTAAATAAATTAATTGAAGAGATAACCAATAATCAAGTAATAAATAAGTTGGAAAAATTGCAACATTCAATCGCAAATCTAGAGAATAAAATCTAAAACATGCCTACTAATTATCATATAAATAAATTAATTGAAGGAATAGATGCTATAAATCTCACTTCAATAAATTATATCAATACGGTCACACAAGAACTAACTTATTTTGCTTCAGAAATCGTAGAGGAACAAATGAGTATTGGAATCACAGAAACATTAGAAGAAGCTATCTCTAAAACCGAATTAATTACTGATATAATAACTAGCTTAAATAAAATAAAACAAAGATTACTAAACCAATAAGACATTTATAAAATTATAAGAGAGCAACGAAAAACATGGTATCAGAGCTCAAACCGATCAACTACCCGAATTATTTAGTTCGCAAAGACTTGAATATTAGTTCATACACCATTGAATATCAGTTAGTATCTACGACCAGTTTGCAGATTAACCAGGTTGGAGTCCGATCCCTGTAATTACACAGCCACCACAAATTTTCGCGGCCGTTCGAAATTTCTCAGCCACCACAAATTTTCAGGGTCTTCGGCTAATTGTCGTCTCTCTCATCCCGCGGCCGATTTTCGGATTTCACAACCGAATCGATAGCGACTGCGGCCTCAACTCTTTCCTTCGAGCTGGCCCGCTGAGTGTTGGTCATTCTATCCCAGCACTCTCTCAAGCGTCTGAATTTCCGCGTGCAGAAAACGCGACGGAAAGGAAGACGGCAGTGGTGTGTTTGAGTGTGGATGAGGTTGTAAGGGCCTAAGTTTTAGGTATGGGAATGGGAGCGAGCTCTGTCTCCGACAAGGACCCCAATGGATGGGGCGGAAGAGCTCAGGGATTGGCCGTCAAGACGCTGGTTCTGATCGGGGGTGCGCTTCTGTTGAAGCGGCTTACTAAATCCACTACTCGTTGGGACCATGCTCGCTTCGTCTCTCAATCGCTCACCGGTGAGAAGGTTGCTGCTGCTTCTGTTCTTCTGATCTTGTACATTTCTAGTGCTTTGTTCTGCTTTTCAGTCATTTTTGTTGTCGTTGGTTTGGCACTTTCCATAATTGAAATTTTGTTGTGTTTGTACTGTGCGAGTAGTTCTCCAGGGAGCAAGCATCCAGAGATCCTGATAATTACTTCAATATTAGGTAGTGAATTCCCCTGCACGCTTTGTCTTGGGGTTTGGTTGTTCTCGAGCTCTCTACTGTCAAATTTCCGCTTCTCTTTTGCTTGTTCCTTACTGTGGTACTTTCAACTTCGTACGGTGCAGGATGTTTTTGTGCCCTGCTGCTGAGATGGTGGATGGTTCAAAGGTTTTGTATTTTGAGCAGGTTGAGTTATTGTCTAGCTGCATTGATTGAAGTTCTGTTTTTTATTTCGTTTCCTTGTGAGACTTTTGCTTATCAGCTTGATAAGTTTTCTCCTTGTGGTTTTCATTCTTCTTACCAGGCATTCTGGCGAACTCCTCAGAAACCCTTTCGGCAGGTTTGGTTTACCATGTTTAGCCGAAATATTGGCAGTGAAAATGGCATGTTCTGGACATGATATAATGCAACCTTTCAATTTCAAATGTTTTTTCCCCTCCAAGCTTTTGATAGTACAGTGTGCTTCAGCATGATCAATAGTAACTAATGTTTTAAGTCTTATACCCTCTTTTGGTTTTTCATGATATCTAAAATGGCTAGGGGAGTGCTGTTAGAAAGATTTAAGAACTGGATGATATGTTTTTGGGTACAGTTTACCACCTCTTTTTACTGGATGTATAGGAACTAGCCTTGCGGTGATTCTGCTTTAAACGATGGCTGGCAATCTTAGAATACTGATGACCTTTCGTATACATGGCAGAGGTTTTACATGGTGAAGCCTTGTCCAAAGGAGTTAAAATGTGATGTGGAGGTACCAGCTTTTGTGAAATCTCTCTGTTATCTTCTTGGTGCCCATCGAGAATAGAGTTACTACTCAAAACAACATATTCAGTTTTCCTATCTCCCGTCTGGGTTACAGGTAAGTACATATGCAATTAGAGATGCAGAAGAGTACAAGAATTTCTGTGATCGACCAAAGGACCAACGCCCACTTCCTGAAGAAGTCATTGGTGTAAGCCTTATATTCTAATGTCAGAATGTGGTACCGAATTGTGAAAACTTCTTGTTTTATGTTGGAATTATTTACCTTACAACTTCCCTGAAGCATATCTTGGCTGGCTGATATATTTAGTGCTGCATATACATTGATGCATGCATTTGCAACATGTTAAGTTTTTTACTTTTATTCTTGCAACATGTTAAGTTTGATAGAGCAGGTATTGAACAAATGACACATTCTAGTTAATTTGACCATCCACCTCCTACCTGCATCTGCTTTTCTTCATCATTTCTTTTATAGCAAGCCATGTTTAAAGTTCAAAATCATTCGACTGAAATTCAGCATATATATATATATCTGTTGGTTCGATATGATCAGTTTCAGATGTGTGTTTGGCATTGTGAACCTTCTGCTTCATCCAGTCAGTAATTATTATTGCTATTCTATTTTAAGTCGAGCCAGTCTTGGATTGTTTTTGCAGGATATTGCAGAACACCTCACCACATTATATCTAAATCGTTGTGACCGTAGAAAACGCTGCCTTTATGAAGGCTCCACTCCACCAGAAGGATTCCCTAATACATGGGTATGTGCATTTCCGGAACCTCTCCATCCCGCATCATTTGCAATTATCTGTTTATCATTATGTCATGCGTTTAACTCCATTACTAATGCCTGTTTATCTACATCCTTTTCCCTTCTGTCCAGAATGGTGCTTCCTATTGTACCTCGGAGCTTGCTGTACTGAAGAACAACGAAGTGCATATGTGGGATAGAGGTTATGACGACGATGGAAATCAGGTTGTAGCTTCATTTAATTTTGCATTTTGACACAATGGTGATACAGAAGCACTGTTTCTAATCCAAGCTTTTGGCCATCTTTTACAGGTCTGGGGAGTGAGGGAAGGTGCCTATGAATTCAAGCCTGCACCAGCTTCTAGTAACCTCAACGGCATTTTCTCTTCTTTAAACTTTCCCCCTGCCCAATCAATTGCCAAAAAGATAGAGGGTTCCTTTGTCTTGGAAGATTGATCTCATTCACCAAGTAATAACCAGACCAATGTGCTAGTGCTGTATATATAGCATTTGTGATTCATCATTAGAAAAAGCTTGCCGAATTTCGGCTTACATAAGAGTTGGTTACAATTTGGCTAGCAGAGAAAGTATGAAGTCGAACGGAATGAAGCAGCAGCAGGATGTGGTTGGCTTCTTCAGCCTTGGAAGGTGTTGTTGAGGTAGAAGTATAGTGCAGCGAGTGCGACGATTCCAACCACAACAGCAATCGGCAAAGCTCGCCTGCGAAATAAGCAAAACGAAAATGACTAAAGATAAGACTGGGTGAGAAGTAATTTGCATGCAGCATTCATAGATCACTTTGCGTACAAGTCAATTTTTACCCTATTGCTTCATCCCTCTGTAACTCTGCTTTGCGTGCTTTTCTAACGTCCTTATCGTTTGCACCCTTAGTTACCGCCGGCGTATACGGCCTAAACCTCCTCTTCGGCGCACCACAAACTGCCAAAGCCATACAGTCAAAAGTAAATGAGCCAGTGCGAACCGGAAGTAAGAGGATAAGATATGGGCAAGCATCATCGACCAATGATATGCAAGAGCGAACTGGCCCCTAAGCAGAGCCTTATCGGCATCTTGGAAAAGAAGAGACTTTTATCAAGGCGTAAGGAGTTTACCACGGCAGAAGAAGCTGTCAGGGAGCTTCTCAAAGGGAGTTTTATCGTTGTAAATGTACCTGCAACCACACACAACCACAGTCAGCAAATTCGCTAGCCACTCATCCTGAAAGTCCTAAATGGGTACTAACCCGCAATCGCGGCAGATGTAAGCTTGTTTGGAAGCGACGCGCATGGAGAATTTGGGAGCAGCAGAGGCAATGGGAAGGTGGCGCAGTGAAGCTGTGAAGAGGTGAAGTGAGGGAGAGAAGAAGGATGATTTCAGGGCAAAGCGATCTGGTGGCGGCCTGAGCCCAGCATTTTGAGGGGAAGGAGATAATGATGAGAGACAGGGGGATGAGGGGCCTGAGGCTTGAAGCCTTGTTGATTGTAGCTGTAACGCCATTTCTTTCTTTGTTTCTTCTAAATGTTACCTTCTGCTGGAGGGGAGGGAAGGGACAACTTGTTGCCTGGTAATGAAAAATGAGGAAATGGAAGGAGGGAGAGATGATAAGAGAGTGTGGTGGTGGACTGGACGATGATGAAAGAAGCTGGAAAGTTATTATGATTGGCTGATGTGGAAGAGGGGAGCGTGGCTTTCGTACCTCCCCACACATGACCACTCTCTATGTACCCTTCTAGACCATCCCGGGCTCTACCACCACCTTTTCTGCCTTGTACGGGCTCTTTTTGTCCATACTTGGTACTTGGTAGAGGGTGGGTGGGCATGCGGTTCGGGAAACGCAAACTAAACCAGATCGCATGCAAGTTGAAACACAATCGAATTGCTCTATGTTCGGTTCGTAATTTGTTGTTGGACGTGTTTGTGCGTGAGCATGTTGTAGCTCAAGCACTCGTTTGGTTAGTAGGTAAAGTGTTGGGTAGCACTTGGTAATTGACCAAGTTGCATGTCTCGACCTTTAACCCTAGTGTTTTAGCCATGTATAGTATATATATGTTTGTAGTAGTCGAGTCTATGTAAGTTTGTGAGCATTGGGTAAAAACCCTAATAAGAGAAGTCGCAAGCTCCTTGTGTGAGCTTGCCGTGGATTAGTCTAGTTCAACCTAAGAACGAGGATACCACGTAAATCGGTGTTCGTTTATATTGCGCTTTACGTTTTTATCATGGTATCAGAGCATGTGAAGACGTTCCAGCACCTGTTTTGAGTATGGCTGGCGGCGACGACAATGACAAGGGGGTTACCTTGTCCGGCAGTGGCGACGTTGGTTTGTATGAGACGAATCCTTCGTCTCCGATGTTTCTTAGTTAGTCTAATTACCCTAATCAAGTCTATGTTGGTGAACTCCTCAACCAATCCAACTATGAAGATTGGATTCAGGGTACGACGAACTCCCTCTTGACGAAGAACAAGTTGGGATTCGTTGACAGTACCATCCCGAAACACACTAATGTCGTGCAGCTGGGGCAATGGCGCTTGGTCGATGCAATGGTGAAAGGTTGGTTAACCTGCACCATTGATAAATAAGTCCGACGTGGGATGCGTCATGGCAAAACAACAAAAAATGTTTGGGTTGATCTCCGTGTGGTTTGTGTACTTGTGGCCAGGAGAAAAAGAATCACGCTCGTGAGGAGAAATTTCGGTTGTTTGACATTCTCATCGGACTCGACAAGTCGTTTACTAAGGTAAAGACTCAAGTTTTATTGATGAAGGTAATGCCTAGCTTGTCTGAGGCTTACTAGTTGGTCATCAATGATGCACATCAGAGGCGGATTGCTTTCACCCAACTCGTTGTTCCCAAGGCAACTGCCTTTTTGACCCGCGATACCACCCAGTCTCGGCCTGAAGTGAGAGAACGGTCCAAATGCACTCATTGTAGGAAGACAGATCACTTAGAGGAGCGATGCTTCGACATCATTGGCTGGCCAGAGAAAGGGGACGAATCTGGAGGGAAGCGCAAGCCTCTCGATCGTCCTCATCCCCATCATCGCACGACAAATATCGAAGCTGGGGAAAGCCCCGTATTTGGTCTATCACTCTCGTAGCTTGAGCAGCTCCAGAGTTTCTTGAAAGGGGACGTCGGGTCTCTCGATTCGGCCTCCTCTAAGATGCAAGGTAAATTCTCTAACCTCGATGAGTGGATCATCGACTCGAGGTGCAATGAACATATAGTCAAGGATCAGTCTATGTTGCTTCGTGGGGTAGTTCCGTCAGATTTACAATCAGCATTCCGAATGGTGATATGGTTGGGGTTGGCAAAATTGATTCTGTTCAGTTGGGCAATGGGATGGTCTTGCCTCGTGCTCTGCTGGTTCATGAGTTCAAGTGCAATTTCTTGTTCGTTAGTCGTCTTACCGTCGATTTTCCCATTGCTTTGATCTTCTTGCATGACTTGTGTGTGATACAGGACTTACATTCAAGAAGATGATTGAGATGGGTAAACAAGGTGACGGCCTCTATCACATGCATTTGTTTGATGAAGTTAAGCACGCCATGGTGAACGCGACGCAAGGGAAGGAGGTTGCCACGCTGGAGCTTTGACACTCTCGTTTGGGTCATCCCTCTGGAGATCAAGTTTCGTTGTTACATTTGTTTCCGCATAGCACTCGGTTATCTAAAGACAGTTGTTCTTCCTGTTTGCAAGCTAAACAGACTCGAGATTCTTTTTCTTTGAGTTCAATAAAGAGTACTCGGCCTTTTGAATTGATACATGTTGATATTTGGGGAGAATATCAGGTTCCTTTTCCCTCAATGATGCTCATTACTTCCTTACTATAGTTGCTGATTACAATCGTAGTGTGTATTTATTTGTTACGGTATAAGTTGGAGGTGGCTCAGTATTTGATAATGCTTTGTAACCAGGCTGTACGTCAACATGGTCACTCTGTTGCGAAGATTCAGGCTGACAACGGATTGGAGTTTCAGACCGCTCTGCTCAAGGAGTACTACGAACAAGAATGCATTCTCCTTTAGACCTCTTGCTCGATATCCCCAACATAATGGGTTCGTTGAGAGGAAGCACAATCACTTGCTTGAGATCACCCGTTCCCTCCGGTTTCATGCGAACTTGCCCATAAAGTTTTGGGGCAATGTGTGTTGACTGTTGCGTACTTGATCAACCGGTTTCCTTCCCGAGTCATTGGTGGTAAGTCTCCCTTCGATGGCTGTTTGGACGTTCCCCCGGTTGCAGTCACATTCGAACATTTGGGTGCTTGGTTTTTTCTAAAAATAAAAAATACCAGCCACCACCTTGACAAGTTCGAAGAAAGGGGGGGAACTTGTTTGTTTGTCGGCTATCCTCTTGGGCAGTAGGGATATCGGGTTTATGATATGGACACTCATCGTATTTTTACATCACGTGATGTTACCTTTTGTGAAGGGATCTTCCCTTTTCATCCTGCCGCTAGTCAACCAACCCCGCCTCCGCCAGTGCCACTTTATGTTGCGGACGACGTCGGCTCCCCTTCCCCACTAGCTCCTTCCCTCCCGCTTACCAGCCTTATGTTCCTAAGCTGGGTGATAGTTCGTCCGAAGAGGATGAGCAGCCTGAGCTGGGCACCAATTCCCCCGCCAACGCTTCCCACGAGCAGCCTGCTCCTCCATCACTCTGTCGCAGCGATTGCCACCCAGTCCATCCAGTTTGCCTTCGTGAGGATTATGAAGTCACCCTCCCTTCCTCTCGCTCGGCTACTACAGTTAAGTACCCTCTGTCCGACGTCCTTGACTAGTCTCGTTTGTCTCCTGATCACTTTGTTTTTTATGCAGCGGTCACCGTCATGACCGAGCCCCAAAATTTCTACAAAGTCATTCGTCATGCGTGCTGGTGTGATGTCATGCAGTTTGAAATAGAAGCCAGGCCAATGGAACGTGGGATCTTGTTTTTCTCCCTCCCGGAATGCGCTTGTTCAAAGCAAAGTGGGTTTATAAAATCAAGTTTCGTCCTGATGGGACAGTTGAGCGCTATAAGGCGCGTCTTGTAGCCAAAGGGTTTACCCAGGTTGAAGGTGTCGATTATCACAACACGTTTGCTCTCGTTTCCAAGCTTGTCAAGGTTTGATGTGTTCTCGCAGTTGCCGCGCAGAAAGGTTGGTTTCTTCATCAGTTGGACGTCAACAACGCCTTCCTACACAGTGACCTCAATGAGGAGGTGTACATGGCAGTCCCACATGATTTTACGCGATCGAGGGACAGCTGGGTGTGTCGTCTTCGTAAATCCATGTGTGGCCTAAAATAGGCTTTACACAACTGTTACTTGAAGTTCTCTGAGTCACTTTAGCAGTTTGGGTTCACTCAGTCACAGCCCGATCATTCATTGTTCATCTACAAGAAGGGTGAGTCTTTCACTTTTGCCCTCATATTTGTAGATGATGTTATCCTGGTCGGAAACGATCTGACGTGCATTCAGCACGTCAAGGACCACTTGCACCAGGAGTTCAACATCAATGATCTTGGTACGCTCAAGTATTTTTTGGGTATCGAAGTTGCCCGATCTCGGGCTGGTGATATTTTGTCACAACGGAAGTACACCTTGGACATTTTCAAGGATGCAGGAGCAGAAGCAGTGCGACCTTGCGCATTCCCTATCGAACAGAATCACCACCTAACCTCTCTCAAAGGACCTGCGACCAAAGATCCAGCTGAGTATCGTCGGCTGGTTGGGAGGCTTATGTAACTCACCGTCACATGAATATATATATATATATATATATATATATATATAGTGTATGAAGTCAACATACTCAGTCAGGCCGTACACTCTCCGCGCGTGGATCACGAGCTAGTAGCGCGCAGGGTCCTGCGCTATCTTAATGGCGCTCCAGGTAAAGGTCTTTTCCTGCATTCGAATTGTGATCTCAGTCTCCATGCTTATTGCGATGCAAACTAGGGAGGATTCTAGCAGACTCGATGCTCAACCATAGGATATTTTATTCGTTTGGGTGGTAGTCATGTTTCTTGGCGTACAAAGAAATAACAAGTTATGGCACGATCTTTGACTGAAGCTGAGTACATGGCGATGGCGGTCACAGTCACCGAAGTTGTTTGGTTGCGCTGGTTGCTTCAAGAGTTGGGAGTGTCGAACTAGTTGCTACCCCACTCCACTGCGATAACCAGGTAGCACTTCACATCGCCGCCAATCCCGTGTTCACGAGAGAACTAAGCATGTGGAAATGGACTGTTATTTTATGCGCGAGCGTGTTGTTTCAGGTGAGATTGCGCCACAGAAGATCCATACAGAAGACCAAATTGCAGACATTTTTACAAAGTGTTTGGGAGTTGAGCAGTTCACCGTCCTTAGTGGCAAGCTCGGACTCCACGATGTTTACTCCTTCGCTTGAGGGGGAGTGTTGTTGGATGTGTTTGTGCATGAGCATGTTGTAGCTCAAGCACTCGTTTGGTTAGTAGGTGAAGTGTTGGGTAGCACTTGGTAATTGACCAAGTTGCATGTCTCGGCTATTAACCCTAGTGTTTTAGCTGTGTAGTATATATATGTTTACAGTAGTCCAGTCCATGTAAGTTTGTGAGCATTGGCCAAAAACCTTAATAAGAGAAGTGGCAAGCTCCTTGTGTGAGCTTGCTGTGGATTAGTCTCGTTCAACCTAAAAACGAGGATATCATATAAATTGGTGTTCGTTTACCTTCCGCTTTACGTTTTTATCAAAATTTGGCAGTTGAAATTAATGTTGGTGATCCTTGGTTTGGAACAAACACAATCGATCTATCAAATTCCAACCCAATCTTTGAATTGCAGTCATCAATTTCTATCCCCACAAGGAATTTCCCAGGCCCAATCCTATCCATAAAGTCCAACCCAGCCTAACACAAACTAGAGCTCAAACACCTATTCGGCCATTCCTCTAGGCCTTACCAAAATCTCAAAAATAAATCCAAACAAGCCCCAACTTCATTGACAAACTTTCATAAACATAAAATCATAGATCCAACGACCATTTTGTTATCTTCCCAAATAGAGTGGCCGCCATCATGGACACAACCACTAGCCGCCACTTTGTGTTGTCCCTCCCTCCAAACTCTCACTTCCCTTCCCTCACTGTCGACAAGCGGCTCATCTCCTATTTTTCTATAGGGTGAGCTATATGTTCTATAAAAT